AATATGGGCTTAATGATTGGGAGAGGAGTGTGAAGTGTTATGGCTTGAGCTTGGGTTAGCTCTTTTGTTTTTCTTAGTGCTGTGTAGGCTGCTAGAAGCACTTTTCATAAAGCGTGTAATTTAACTATGACCTCTGCTATAACTTCGAGCTAAACTGTATGGGGCGGCGGGGTACAGTTTCTCTTTCTTGCTATAAGGCATAGGACATCTCTGTGTTTCTTACAGTAAGGTACAAATGAAATGGGACTTATTACGGTAAATCGAACTTATAGACTGATAAGTGCGTATCTCGTTATCAGCTGTCTCTCAGAGCTTCTTCATGAGAGGGGGGGCTCATTCTTATCAAGCATGCTTCTTGAGCAAATTATACGGGGAGTAGGTACAAATTAAGATTCTTCGTTTTTTTAGATCTTTAATTAGTTCACAGACTGGAGCCATAGCTTCGGCTGGAATGCTGTACTGTTTTATCTTGGTTATAGTGGAAGGCGGGAGAGAGGGGGTTTGAACTAGCAAAGTTTTAAAGCTAGCTCTAAAAGCTCATTTTTTTCTATTAATTACTTTCTCTTTCTCTTCTCTAGCTTTAGGAGGAGCCGTTTTTAAAGGTGCTTCATGTTTTTATTTAGGGTTCGCACTTGGGTATCCAGGTTCTGGCATTGCTCTTAGAGTTTGTATCTCTCTCTCTGCACTTTTATCAGCTCTGTTTCTAAGTTCTAGTAGCTAGAGCAGGCTGCTTGCCACACACTCTTTAACAGCTAGATGCAAGCGCTTTTCTTTAACATCTCTTTATCTTACTTAGGGTTGCTCTATCTCTCTCGGGCAAACTCTTTTTCTATACAGCTAAAATTTATGTCAATCGTGACTGGCTTCATGCTGCTGTATTTGAACTAATAGCACAATCCTGCCGACTACGCCAATTCTGTCAGCTGACGGTCAGGGCAGTGTGTGTGTGTATGCTTTTGAGAAAAGGTTTAACGTCTGTGTCTTTACTGCTAGGACCGGGGTCCCATCGCAGAGGGTGGCCAGCAGGCCAACAGACGCCTTGTTATATAGAAAGAGCTTATTACACTTTAGATTTTAACTGCTAGAACACAGGGGTTCCTTCGCAGCGGGCAGCCTGGGAAAGGCTGGAAAGGTGCTTTAACGGATCTTGTCACCTGGGAGTGACACAGATCCAAACGCTTAAGCTCTCTTTATGTCTGTTTTTTTATGACTGGCTGAAGTTCTTTTAAATTGTGCTTGGTTCTGTTACAGCAACTGAAGGAGTCAGGTTAAAGCTTAAACAGTTACAGGTTTATTAAAAGACTTATAAAAGCATATGGTTACAATGGCTATTGCTCTATTTCTTAAATGCTAACAAATATAGATTTTAAAAATGGTTACAAAGAAAATAAAGATAGAAAATAGAAATAATGGTACTAAGTGACAGCTTAATCTTTAAAGAGCTCTAAGTCTATGTATATATATATACTTAAACAAAGGACTACATCTAGGTACAATTTTTACTTCTTTCTGTGCCTCTCGACTTCAGCGTGTCAGGCCAGGGCCGGTCTCTCAATTCTTAGGAAAGACGAATACGAGGTGGGCGTCTTCTTGGAACCTCGGGAGATCAAACACTTAACTTGACCAGCAGATAGATGGTAGATTGACATTCAAAGAGAATGCGCTGCTGGACCTATCTTTATACCCCTGGGGGCCCGTATTCTCTTTCTTATCTAAGATGCCGAATTGTACTGGTCCGTTTTGTGGCGCCAGTTCTTACAAGCAAGTTTCAAGTTAATTTACACTTGCAAGAGAGATAACTAAATTGTGAGCACTAGACATTTTTTTACTGGGCGAGAGATTCCTCCCCCCCGCGGATGGATGTGTGTTCGTATCAATATGAGTTAAGTCAAGGGCACTTTTTGGCAGCCTCTTGGTCAGCAATTGGCATATCTCTGTTTATAGCCATTCATGGTCACACAGCCTAGGCCTTCTGCTCTGTGTGCCCTGTATGCTCTAAACAAGCAAAAATGAATGTTACAAAGAAGTTCCTGTCTAGCTACAGTGGGGCCCCCACTAACCGCCAGTGTCTGCACGCCCTTCCCCACCCCGAGCACGCGGCAGGGGTGTAGTGGGCCCAGTAGCGCTCTGCCGCCTTAGCATGGCTTGTGTCTCCATCCCTGGCTTCTCCGAGGAGACAGTGGTGCCCCTCTTGACTGCAGGGTGTGTCTGGGTGCTCCCATGAACTCGTGGCTGGTTTGGATTCAGGGGGAGGCTCGCCGGGGTATTTGCAGGGGATCTGTGTGGGGTGCACTGACCTATGAGCTGAATCAGCTGGGAGATAGGCAGACGACAAAGCGCTACAAAAGGGTCTCTCAAAACCGGGTGACTAGGCAACCAAGCGCAGATGAAATTCAAGGTTGATAAATGCGAGTAATGCACATTAGAAAGCAATCCCAAGTCTGCGTACACAGTGCTGGGGTCTATTGCGGACACTTCTCTGAAAACATCCGCGCCCTATGCAGTCAGACCAGCCAACCATGCTGGGAATCATTCAAAAAGGGACAGCGAATAGGACGGAGACTATCCTATTGCCTCTGTATACACCCCTGGGACGCCCGCGTCTTGATCCGTGCAGGCAGATGTCCCATCTCAAAGATATATTAGAATCAGACCAGGTTCCGAAAAGGGCAACAAAAATGAATAGTGAACCGAGTCGGTAATGAGCCTGGGACTTTTCAGCGTGGAACAGAGACGATGGGAGGGAGTGGGGGAAGTATGTTAGAGGGCTATAAAATCGTGAGTGGTGTGGAGAAAGTGAATAAGGAAAAGTTATTTACTTGTTCCCATAACACAAGAACTAGGGGTCATCAAAGGAAACAAATAGGTAGTAGGTTTAAAACAAACCGAAGGAAGCATTTCTTCACAGCATGCATAATCAATCTGTGGAACTCCTTGCCAAAGGACATGCATCTGACGAAGTGGGTCTTTGCCCACGAAAGCTTATGCTCCTACCCTTCAGTTAGTCTATAAGGTGCCACAGGACTCCTCGCTGCTTTTGCCAAAGGATGTTGTTGTGCAGGCCAAGAATATAACTATTCAAAAAAGAACTGGGGAAATTCCTGGAGGATAGATCCATTAGTGGCTATTAGCCAGGCTGGGTAAGGCTGCTATCCCTAGCCTCTGTTTGTCAAAGGGGCTGGAGCACTTGATGGGTCCCTGTTCTGTTCGTTCGCTCTGAAGCACCTGGCATTGGCCACTGTCGGAAACGGGATTCTGGGCCAGGTGGAGCGTTGGTCTGACCCAGGATGGCCGTCCTTACCTAGGTGCTTGTGGCTGTTTCTCTTCCAGCTCTCCGCTTTGAAACACTCTAGAAATGCTGAGGAGCAAAAGAGCTCTGTGTTGCTGGAGCAGCTGGAGCAGCTGGGGCAGATGAGTGAGAAGGTAAAGGGTGAACAGAGGCCAACCCTCCCTGATCTAGTGTCCTGTCCAGGCCACAGCTGATGTCCCCCTGGGAGAGAGCCATGCCCTCTGCTGCCAGGGAGTGCTGCTGCGTAGCATCCTAGTGCAGTCCGGCCCCCTCCTGACGCCCCAGGACTGGGGGACTCCCCCGGCTGTTGCCTTTGCGGGGTAGGGGCGCTGGGCCACTGCTGCCTCTTGGCTTTCTGTCAAACGCACCCCCTGCTGACTGCGCCGTGACCGGCCAACGGGCACAGCAGCGGCAAGTGGGGACCGACTGAGCAGCCTGACGTCCCGCTCTCCCTTGGCAGCATTCAGCCCTCCAGTCCCATGCTGCTGCCCTGAAGGCTCGCTATGAAAAGCGCATCCGGGAGCTGAAAGGGCAGGCGAGCTCTCCGCCCGCAGACTCTACAGAGGAGGTGAGAGCCCCGCTAGTGTGGTCCCCCCGCCCCCGGCTCTCTGCTCCCTGGGGAGGTGGCAGGTTATTTTTTAAACACCCTGAGCCTCGGCCAGCGCGTGGCTTGTATTCCGCGCAGGGCGGGCCGTCTGCAGCCCTGGGATGCCGGATAGGAAAGGTGCATTCCCAGACCAGAACTGAGCGCCCCTTCTTGGGGCGACTGCACTGAGTGGAGAAGCCTATGGCAGTGCCTGGGAGTGCTGCCGATTCCGGTCTCCCCTACGATGACTCATCGTGTGTACGTGCCTCTCGCCAGCGCGTGGCTTGTATTCCGCGCAGGGCGGGCCGTCTGCAGCCCTGGGATGCCGGATAGGAAAGGTGCATTCCCAGACCAGAACTGAGCGCCCCTTCTTGGGGCGACTGCACTGAGTGGAGAAGCCTATGGCAGTGCCTGGGAGTGCTGCCGATTCCGGTCTCCCCTACGATGACTCATCGTGTGTACGTGCCTCTCTTCCTCGTTCTCAGGTAAAGAAGATCATGAATGGGGTGTTTCAGTCCCTGCGGGGTGAATTCGAGCTGGAGGAGTCGTACAGCGGTAGAACAGTCCTCGGGGTTGTCATGAACACCATCAAGGTACAGTATCGATGGGCTGCAAAGGCGAGTTACCACGGACCGTGCGCTTGATGTGCCTGGCGTTCTTGTGGACTTTCACAAGGCAGTCGAGCGGGGGCAGGGAAGGGGCCACCGACCCGCAGACAAATCAGTTGGGGGCCCCACACAAGTGAGAAGCACCAAAAAAACCCTCAGTGACATGGCCCCCAAATGAGGGGGGGAAAGACACCTCACTCCCCTGGGCTCCAGCAAGGCTCAGGGCTCACCCCAGGCCAGATGAACTTCTGGGAGCCTGGGGCTAGTAGATTTTGTGGCCCCCTTCGGCTCTGGCGTAGAGCCGAACTGAGGGGCTCAGCGTGTGGGGAGGGGCTGCCAGGGAGCAGGCTGAGGTGGTGGGAGTGCAGGGGCTGGCTGGGGATGGGGGGTCGGGGCCCTGCCCTGGCGCAGCTCCCAGGGGTGGGGGGATTGGCCGCGATTGGGAGCAGTGAGGGTGACTTGGAGCTGAGAAGTCTGCTCTTGCCTGGCAGGGACACTAGGGAGTGCACAGGGCCCTTCCCAGCCCAGCTCCCTGCTGTACCCGCTCTGCCCTCTCGGGCCAGCTGGGCGGGGTGGCTAAGGTGGCTTCAGGTTCCTTCCCCCAGAGTCTGAGCAGGGTGCAGTTCACACCATTGGTCTCATTTCCACAGCGAAGGCAGAAACAGTTTCCCTTCTAGATTAGACTTTGCCTCTGCTCAGACGCGCACGAGCCCGAGGACTGTCGGCTTAGCACGGACCCCGCGGCGGGACGGAGGGGAGCTGAGAGCATGCGGGGCCAGACGTGACCTCTGACCTCCAGGGCACCGAGTGCGTCCGAGCGGGATGCTGAGAAGAGGCTTGAATAGCAGGAGTGGGGGAGGGAAGCGGGACACGTGTCCTCTCAGTGGCTGCCCAGTCAGTAGAGGCGGAAATCTCCTGTTGGCCGTGGGCAGGAGGAGCTGGTGTGCGACTGGGCACAGTGTTGCTGGGGGCTCCAGACGTGGGACTGGGGCTGAGGAAACGAAGGTTAATTTCCTCTCCCCTCACCTGCAAGAACAGCCCTTTGCTGGGTCCCAACTGCCCAGCCTGGGTTTCCCCTTTGGCTGCCCCGTGTGTGCCGCCATCTCCTCAGAGTCCACATGGAGTAGCATTCCGGCCTTAGCTGGCTGCCTTCGGCAAGAGGGCGGGATCTGCTCTGAACATGCCATGGCCAGCTAATGCACGGAGCACAGGTGCGCCTGGCTTGCATGGCCAGGGCTCAGCAACCTCTGCAATGTACTCCCCCGGGGCAAGTAGATGACATCCCGGAGAGCCGGGTTCGGGCGATCTGCCCGTGCCCTGTGCATGACCCTCCTCCGGATTGACCTGGCAAGGACCTTTTCTCTGGTGACTAACCCTCCCCTGCCTTCTCTTCTCATTGCTCTTCCAGACTGTAACTCTGCAGCTGCTCAGCAGGCAGCGGGAGAGGCAAGAGAGCAACAGCGACGAGGAGGAAGCGAGAACGGGGGAGGAGAACCGGGAAAGCTCGCCAAGCGCCCAGGCGGACTGTGACGACGCTGTGCAGAACGGGCCAACACCGAGCACTGTGGGCCCCGCTCAGCCAGCGGCGGGGGGGGCTGGCGGCGCTGCACCGCCCAGCTCTCCGGAGGCAGGGCGGGAGGCCTGGAATCCAGCAGCCTCAGGAGTGAGGACGGTCCAGGAGAGGCGTGACGAGCGTTCCTTCTCCCAGTCGGCCCAGCCGGGAAAGGCCGCCCCAGGGCTGGTGGGTGCTGAGGAGCATGTCGGCTCCATGCTGGCTGAGCAGGGGCAGGCAGGAGCTCCCAGCGGGA